ACAATTCGGTCACAATGATGCTTTTAGGTACTGAAATGGAATTGCATGAACATTCACGTGGTGGTTATGTAATACAGCGAATCCATAATAAAAAATCTGCGTCGACAAATTTACATAATCGACGTCATCGATTATTTCAACTAATCGGTGCAGCCCTATTTCTGTCTCGCCCATTTCAGTGGATTTTTCAGTTTTACAAAATCGACCATTACTTGTCAATAAAATATGTGAGGAAGTATTTTCACAAAAGACTGGAATTTTTTAGCACTTCACTGAATGACTGTATATCCTGTTAAACTGAAACTATTTAGATGTATTTTATTGAAACTTTGTTCAATATTCATAAAATTTGAGAAACGTTGCCATTAAAAAAGTTGACATTTTATGAGTAGACATTTTTCAGGTAATAAATAAATATTATTTTAAGAGACATGGATTTAAAAAAAAAAAAGAGATCTGATAGATCCACACGTCTGAAGCTCACCTCGATGAAGCGGAACGGGTCGCTCTCATGCAGGAGGCCTTCGATGCCGCAGCGGACTTCCTGCAGACGGGCCTGGTCCTGACCGATCCTGGAGATGTTCTTCTGGATCGCAGACACGTTGGTGTCACACTGAGTGCGAGTTAACGCTCGCAGCGTGGCGATGAAGTGCTGGACTCTGTCCTTCATGTCCTGCTCCATTCGAGTCAGGTGCTGTTCTGTGTCGTCCATGAGCCTCTGAGGAAAAGAAAAGGAGCATGGTGTCAACAGGAGGACACTGGATTTGTTGTAGAAGGAAGAACACAAAACAACATGAAGATCACATTAAATGTGTGACAAACGTCTCCCTCGTGTTTTCAAAACAGGATGAATTAACTCAGGTTAGTGAGATTCTGTGGTTAACGTGTTTTCTTGCCCCCTCATCGATCATCCCTCTGTAATAAATTCATCTTGTTGTTTAACTCTAAGCTCATCTGTTCACATCTAGGCTGTTTCGGCTCCGTTACTACCTCACTCCTACTGGGAGGGCTGGATTCAACCCTGGCCCCAACGGTCCATTCAGATGTCACACAAGGCATTTAAAGACTGGTTTATACTTCCACAAGACACAAGGCTGTAGATCAGTGATGACGTCATTTTGGACCTCTTTTTTCTTACTGAGGTTTTACTTGTGTGAAAGACACGAGGAATAAATCATCAGATACTCCCACAGTACTCCTAATGTAGCACAAGTAGCACATAGCTAAGCATTTAAGGAGTTAAGAGTGCACATTTCAGGGTCAGTCACACAGTAAAACATGTACCTGGTGTGGTTAAGAGCTGAGCTGAGATAACTGACAGACTTTATGCAGTTTTCACCACCTGACAATGTAAGTGAGATGTGAGAATGGAAATATAATCAGATCTAATCCTGATTAGGGTTGTAAAATGATGCAACACAGTTTGTTTCTTCTAGATCAGGGGTGCCCAACCAGTCGCTCGCGGGTGACTGGTCACCCCCCAGCTGATTCCCAGTTGCTCGTAAAGTGCATGTTGGAGCAAGGTTGCGCTCCGGTCGGGAGCTCGCTGAGCTTCATTCTAACTCCAGTAGAAGCGSTGGAGGTGGGAGGAGGAGAGCGGAGGGAGCGCGTTCAGGAATGTAAACTCCTCCCGTCTCCCACCTCCACCACTTCTGCCGGAGTTAGAATGAAGCTCAGAGGAGGGTAGTCTCGCGAGTTTTGGTTGCTGTGAATCAGCGCTCCGAACATGATCTTGCGAGACTTTAGTGTCACGTGTTTAAAACATGATCTTGAGGAAAATAATGAACGAAACAAGAGCTAAAAAGCAAACAAAAAATTATTTTCACCAGGAGAGGAAAGAGGACTCATATGTAATTCGAGTGCTGCCTTGTCCAAAAAGGATAACGTGGAACGACATTTCAAAACCAGGCACAAACGCGGATTTCCTCCTAAAACCGCACAGCATCGATTTTCACACCAGAGGTAAGGCTAATGTAGCCCATCCTGCCTCAACACAAAAAAGGTCTTTCAGCGATGACCAAGTTATGAAAGAAGCGTTTGATGAGATTGTGGCAGCTATAAAGAGGCACAATTGTCCAGGATGGTTGACATTGTGTCCAAATTCGTGTCCGTGTTTCTGCTGGACTGCTC